ATATGCTCCTGTGAAAAGTAGCAGTCAAGGGGGAGAAGGAGCCAGCCCTGGGCATAGCTGTCCCTCCCCGCTTCTCCCTGGCTGAACAATGGACGTGCCTGTTCCCTCTCCCTCCATCATCTTTAGCTTTCTTCCAAAGCAGGAGAGCTTCTCAACAGCAGCCCTTGTGCTGGCTGAGTTATCTCAACTCTCGTGGTGCTGCTGCTGGGAACTGGCTGCTTTTATTGGGCCACCTCTGGCACCCAGCAAAGTCCCGTGTTGGTCAGGCAGCTTATGGGGCTGGCAAGGTAGGAAGTTCAGATTTACCCAGCTGGGGAGATGGTGCAAACTGAGGCTACAAAACAGGGGAACTGCATTAAAAGTGGTGAAGAGAGTTCCAGGGGGATGGATATGGGCAGTCCCAGATGTTTTCTGGCCAGCAAAGAGCACTGGTGGCTTCTGCCAGCCAGTTGTTAATGGTCACAATCGCCGGTCAGTCGGCAGCCAGCTGGGGCTGGGGACAGCAGTTGGCTGGGGGGTGGCTTGGTTGAAAGTTTTGCTGTGTTGGAAAGATGATCAGGTAACAGAGCAGTTAATTAAAAAGTTTGAAGCCAGGTATCCAGCACGGTAACTGAACTGGGGAGAGCGTTCCCTTCCTTGTGGTTAAGCATCAAGCGTGTTCCTGTCAAGCTGCGGGTCTGTGTCCTGCTGCCCTCCAGGAGCCTGGAGCAGGGGGACAGGGTGAGGTTTGGCAGAGTGCTGCTGCTGAAGGTCACGTTAAGGTCTGTAAACAGAGTCTTTAACTTCTAACAGGAAGGTGTTGGCTTCCCAGTGTTGACACAAGCTTGTCCGAGAGGCCCCTCCTAGGGAGGCTGGAGTTGCTGTTGTCCCAGTTGGGGAAGAGGAGCTGGAGAGAGGCTGCTCGAGGTCAGGAAATGACCCCTGGGTCTGGCTGCTGTGTGGATGGAAAAGAGATTCCCCTCTGCCCTCCCCTGGTAGAGCAGTGGCCAGCACACCTTCACCACAGCCCTTCCAGCACAGCATCTCTGTCGCGGCGCTGACCGGGGCTGCGCATTCCTTTGCCGTGACTCTGTCCCTCCGCGCGCTCCGTGTCCAGAGCAGCACGGTTTGGAGGATGTCGTCACTCTGCACAAATGCAGTTTGGTGTTTTTGTTGGGTTGGTTTTTTTTGTTTTGCTGATGGCTCAGGCGTGGTTGGAGGAGATGGTCTGAGCTAATGACACTTCTGTACAGAGTTGGAGTTATCTTCTGGGAGGAAGGATGGCTGAGGGAAAGCGACCAGCAGAGGAAACAGCCACATAAACTTCCTCTCCTGAATTCCTGCCCGTGCTCAGAGTGCTCCTCTTGGGAGACAGGCTCTTGCCTTGCTGACCTGTGTGTTGGAAGAGGCTGCGTGTCCTCTTGCCATGTCCACCTTGAGATGTCCTTCTGGAGGAGGGTCTCTGCTCTCAGCAGGTTCACTTTTCAGAGGGATGGGGGAGATCTTTCCTGTGGGACCAGACACTGGCTTTTAACTGCTCTGCAGTGTTGTCCCTCTCCTTATTCCAGGTTCTCAGCTCTTCAGCTGGATGCTTTGAGGGTAGGTGGCTCTTCTGCATTTGGTTCCTTGAGCCACCAGGTCCTTGCACCCCACTTTCCTCTTCCTTCGATTGCCAGATTAACCTTGGTGGTCCCTTGAGTACAAACTGCCTGGTTTTCCATCCATGTCATAAGTATCTCCATGGAATTAAGCCAAATTGTGGACATCTTTATTCTGGTCTTCAGTTGCTGATGGGATAGGTGAGGAGGAGGAGGTGTGCTGATGGGG